CCATGCGCATGGCTTTCCTGTATTTTTGCAAGAACTCATGAGTGAGAATGTTGTGTTGTCCGATGACGTCTTGCTGGATGATTTGATAGCCCGTAACAGCCGTAACATCGGACATTTGACCCTGCTCGTGACCAGGCTCGACCAATGCGACTCCGCTTCGGATGATATTGTGCGTGACGATTTCGCAGAGGCGGTTAGTTTGGGTCGGATCAACACGGTCCACTGTGTGTTGGACGCTGATGTGGATGTCAACGAAACTGTGCCCAATCGCCCGGGCATGTGTGTGCTGAATTGGCTTGTCTGCGTCGCCAAACAGAAGTTGCGTTGCTGCTACTTATTAAATCTGATGCCGATCTTATTTCATTGATGGGGCAGGTAACACGCCGTTGATGCTGGCGTGTCGGACCGGTGATACAGCGGTTGCGAGTCTACTCCTTCGAAAGCAGGCTGACATGCGCCTCTGTTGCTGGGAGGGAGTGTCGGTGTTGATGATGAGTTTGGGCCACTCGGGAATGGTGCGCTAGTTGCCTCAGTCTTGGGCTGATACGTGGTCTTGGAATTTACAGAGGCTGACGGCACTCATGCTAGCGTGTGCTGGGGGTCACACGGAGGTCGTTCGTGCGTTGCTCGATGCTGAAGCACCCGTCAACGCTTGGAATGGGTGCAGCGGTACGACGGCCTTGATGTTGGCGGTCAGCAGAGGAGGTGTGTCGGATAAAATCCTGATGACGCTTGGTGTCAATATGGAACCCTACGTCGGCGTTTGCCATTTGGAGTGCGCGAGTCTGCTGCTTCGTAGTTCTGGTCGGATGAATGACAGGGGCCGTAAGAACCAAACGGCGCATGAGAAATGACTCGCAAATGGTACGCTTTATACTTCGATCAGGAGCAGGACTAAGCAGTCCGGGCCTCTGTGGCGTTGTGTACCTGATTGCTGCGTGTGACCACGGGCGTGCAGAGGTCGCGCGTCTGCTGTTCGAAGCGGATGTTGATGTAAATGAATGCAATGCCAGAGGCGCGACGGCGCTGCGTTGCGCGGCCTCTATAGTGGCCGGACGGAAGTTGCCGCTCTGCTACTTGGGGCCGGCGCTATCAAGAACCTGGCTGAGGGGTCACACAGAGCTCGCCTGCCTGCAGTCTGTCTGGCTCTGATTCCTGCCAGTGATTTCGGAGCCTTTCTTGCGTGCGCGTGGTGTCACGTGGCTTCATGCCTCTTTGCCCGCCAATGGAGATGGCGCTCCTCTGTCCCTCTGCCTGCCGAAGGGAATCTGTATATGGTTCACTGTACCAAACGCGCCCTTATTTTGCAGGGTGGGAGGCCCCGTCCACGTCTCCGTGCCCACAAAACCTTCACCTCCCTTCTGCTCGAAGCCCGCGACGCGTGGTGGCAGTTCTACCGTGTTTTTCCGGCGACCAGACCCGAGGCTCTGGGCGCTGCGTTGTCCTCTTCTGACGAACTCCTGCCCTGTCACTGCTGCAAACCGCTCTCTTGACAAAGGCTGCGTGGAAGCTCTTCACTGTCTTACAGGTGCCCGTGCCCGCCACTGGCGTACCTAACCCTTCGCCTGCCCAGCAGAAGGAGATTGCGTTTTCCTTCGCGCCGCATTCTGTCTCTGGTGGTTCAGCGCGGGGGTGTTATCATCTTGGAGAACCCGACATCCAGTCTGGTTTGGCTGGATCCTGCTTGTGTCTCCTGGTGCCGCCTCTGGATCCGCCGCGCTGCCAACATGGCTGCCTGTCGCTTGACATCATCCGTGGCCTCTTGTGCCTCCGTCTGCCCGCAGGGCTTTCATGCTGCGCTGGCAGGAGTTCGCCTGCTTGATGGGTCTTTCAAAACCGTCTGTCTGCATGTTATCCTCCGTCATTGGCTGCGGCCATTACCCCCTTTATGCTGACGAATCATCACGCATTTCCGGTCCATTTTGCTCTAACCCCAGAGCAGTGGCACCTTCGCCGCGCTAATGTGGACCAGGATCTGGTCGTCCTGTCTGACATCGGCATTCCTTTCCTGCCTGTTGGCTCGCAGCTCTTAGCTGTTGCCAACACTGCTGTCCGCACTTTATCAGACTTGCCTGCCCAGCCTATTGCTTCCCGTCGCGTTTGTAGTAAGGCAGGCCTGCCATGGACTCATGATCGTCCTGTCTCTGCGGCTTTTCAGGGTCATCCGCCTGTGGCTGGAACTTTTCTCTGCCCCGTCTCTTGCACGGTGCATTCTCATCAGCCCGCTACTCCAGCGTAAGGCCTCTCTGCGTCTGCCGGCCTTAGTGGTTTCGTCCGCTTCCCTGCCGGCCAATGCTACTTTCAAAGCCAATTTTCTCGCGCTGTATTGGCTGCCCTGGCTGACTGGTTCTGCCCGTCTGCTGTTCCCCAGCGCCTCATTGCATGCTGGGAACTTTTGGCTCAGATCGAATTGTCTGGGTGATTCACGCCATGCTTCCGTCAAACCATCCGCCTGTGTCACTGAAACCTTCCGCTGACGTAACGGACTAGTCTGCCTGCCAAACTGGTTGGTTGGTTGGTTGGCTGGCTCGTTTGTTCATTCATTCCCTACCCATTTCAGCCAGGCGTGAACCGTGACCCGAGAGCTGCAAATAAAAACGATTTCAAGTCCATATGCAACCGCATGGCGGTCGTCTTGATTCGTCTTGGAGGATGGTACATGTTGAAGACAGATGCCATATGCCAACTGTGCAGGGACCATGGTCCCTTACAAACGTATTTGAAGCGGGCCGACCTCCCATCCCCAGGGCGTTTCTATCCTGATATCGGCAATCTTGCCACACCAGATCCGAGCTGCTTCATTGCTTGAGTTGCTCAAGATTTGAGCTTCGTAGCTGGCTAGCTGTTAGCCAACTTGTTGCTTGTGCTCTGGCTTGCAGCTCTCAGAAAGGACATAAGAGCCAACATTTGAATGTGTGCCAATGCTTTCAAAAGCGGTGACTACTCAGACTTCAATGTTTATGAGTGTTGCAACTCTGCAATGTTTGAAAGGCTTTGGTGTTAGGAGCTTTCCTGCATGGTGTCTGATGTTGTCTGAAGCTCTGAAGGTGAGCCGCCTGGTGGCTTTCCTGCCTGCTTCCCTGAGCTGGGCCGACAGCCAGGGGAACGTGTCAGCTATGAGCGATGCTCGGGCCAGTCTAAGAGTCTAACAGCATTCTTTTTTTGGGGATTTTGTTTGCGCCATATACCGGAAGAGCAGCGCCTGACCTGATGCATGCTCCATTGCGAGTAGCGTTCTTCGCGTTGTCATCCTAGGATGCTGCTGCTCGGCTGATGTGGAAGTCAGCACTGACAATTGACTGACAATGAGGGGATTTTATCAGGACACTTGTTTGATACAAAGCGCAAGCCGCGACCAGCGACTTTCTGAGGTCTTGAGTATTTGCGCCGGGAGTGTCCTGTGCTCGACCTCCCTTCCTTGCAAGAAAAGGTTTCGAGAGCTCGCAGAAAGTACCCTCGCGTCGACTTGGTCATCCGCTCCTGGCATGAAGACACTCTGCTCTTACGAATGATGCTTCTGTCTTTGGCAATCTACTGGCCTTTCGATTTGCTGCAGAGCTCCGTGCACATCGTTTTAGACGAAGAGGCACCAGAGACAAGGGAGATTTGCCTGAAGATTGTCAAAGACTTCGGAACTTGGGCAACCTGCGTTGGAGAGCCACCGCCATCATGGAAACCAGGCACCTTCAAGAGATCAAAGGCAGCGCGCGTTCACTGGAGCACGTTTCTGGCAGACCTATACACCTCAGAAAAGGCTGACTTTGTCGCGGTACTGGATTCCGACACGGTTTTCCACTCATTCGGCGCAGAGGCCTAGAAAGTGAGCATGGCAAGGTGTTTCAAGCTCACGCCTGAGCTGTCGAAGCCACAGCGGTCTAGAGCCATGAAGATGTTGTCCTTGAAGTCCATGTTCAGGCGATGCTTTTTGTTGATGGCTGGAAACCGGTGGTTTTTGGCCGCTGGTCCTCAGCCTTTGCCTTCAGCTCGCTGGCGGTGCAGGATGAGTTGCTTTCTTGACACAAGCAAAGACCTGTCTACTTGAGCTGAACCCGGAAACTGCAAATTGAGCAATGGAGCTGAGGTTTCCAGATGCCAGTTTTATGGATTCATTTCCGATGGTCTTCCACAGAAGAGACTTTGGCGCTCTCCGTTCCTAGCCTTCACTGAGGCTGAGAGGCACCTGCACAGCTGCACATAGCTGCACAGCTCCTGTACGGCACTAAGGTCTACATATGCAGGAGCGCTGGGCACGGATCCTTGGAAGGGAGAGGATCTCGTTTGATGAAGCTTTTCAGACAGCTGCCAAGCATGTGGAAGTGCTTTCGACGTCAGCGGGGCATTGGCTTACGGCCAATCACGGTGAGTTTCTTTGTTTCCAGGCAGCTGCAGGCAGCTTTATCTGGCGTCACCGTAGAAAGGAGTATCATTTTTCGATTTACGGAGGGCTGCAGCGGGGACTGCCCGTGCAGTCAACGTGTCCATCCCTGCGTGTAGCCCTGCATACCACTGAGCTTAAGCGGTCAAACCGGCGTGGACATTATGAAGATGAGGCCAAGGCGATCATGGCGGCCGGTCTCTGCAGCGCCGCGGCTGCGCAGGGGAAACTGCGGACGCGCCTTTTCCACCTCTGCCGAATTTTACCGAAAGACTCTCAAGCACTGCTTGCTGTTGCTGACGATGTTCCTAGCTGGTCTTGGACCTCCGTCGAGACGGGCTACTGCGGACGCAGAAGTCTGCCTGAACTCCTGGCAGATTTCTGGAGGCTGCAGGCAAAAGCGCCGGAGAGAGGAGCTATCAAAGCCACCCTTCGCCAGCTGCTCGCTGCCAATGCTACAGGTCGTTACACTGCAGATCATTCACTGGACCCGCACCGAAGATTGGAAGTCGTGGGCATCTAGTGCATGTTCTGAGACACTACGTGCCGAAGTAAAACGCTTTCTGAGTTGCAGCTTGCTGATGACGTGGTTGTGACATGCATGCTGCCCCAAATTTGGCGGCAGGATCTGGTTCACAGTCTGCTGAGGCCGCCAGAGAGAAGCACTAAAGTTATGTGCAGCCCCAAAGAGCCCTCAAAGGACACTGATGGCTGACTGCGGCACCTGGCGTGCTGTTTTAGTTGTAGGGGTGCAGGTGATCACCCCGGGACCGCTTGGAGGCATCTACCTGCAAGGCGCTGTCTGCATGGGACACTCAGCATTGCAAGTTTCAACTGCCTCTTCTTATTCTTGCGTGCAGGTGCGCTAGCCATGATGCGAAGCGTTGGCAAAGATCCCAACGAGCCAGCTCGCTCAAGCTGTGCATGATTTTTCTGTGTGGTTCCATGTCCTTCCTGATGTTTCTTTTTCAATCTTCAGGTTGATAGTTCACCGAGACGTTGATGCGGGCATTTTCGGGGTCCGCCTTTTCAAGGCGGGGTGGACAACTGTGGGGGAAGTTTGCAAAAGTTTTGGGATCTTTGCCAGCCGAGCACTTCACAGGGTGGACGCTGGATGTACGAGATTCTCGACGATCTTCTTCCAGTCTGTGAGTCAGACCCTGTATTCAAGCCCAGTATGTGTTGATCGTTTTGGTGATGTGAAGCCCAGGGATGGAACCATGCTCAGCAGCTCTTGCGGTGGACAGGCACGCTTTGTCCGAGGATCTTGACTGTCAGTCAATGCAGTTCCACAATTCGAATGGGGCCTGTTGGGGCGCTGCTTAAATTCCCGTGGCTCCGAACTGGCCTCTGCTGTCAGTCTCAGATTGCACCCATGGTGCCGCCGTGGTGCCGCAGTGATGCCAGGAATGGCCAGGCCTGATCGAGAAAGCGTGCGGCCCCTGGATATAGTCAGGTACATGTGCTCAGCTTGTCGCCACACATCCAGGTACGCAAAGGTGCATGGATGCTACGAAGCCGTTGTTCTTGGTACAGAGGAGCACGCTTTGGAGGAGCATCAGAATGCAGCAAACGTGATGCCTCAGGTGTCTCACCCAGGCCAGTGAAGATGGATACAGATGCAGACAGACTGCGGCATAATGCACTCAGCCGGCATGCGAGCTAGGGCAGGGGAGACCAGAAGACAGAAGAGAGCACATAAGATGGTCTGTGGCCACCAGGAAGTGACCTCTTCCAGCAATCGTGTTCCGGGGTCCATCCTACGTGAGAGCATGGAAATCAGTGGGCTCGTTGGAGTAGGAGGAGACCCCCAGAGCTGGTGGTCATGTCCAAGGTATATCACAAGTTTGTGCAGGACCTGTTGGGAGTTGGGGTTGGAAGCTTTGCGGTAGATGACTTCCCAGTTTGGGTGCCGCCCTTGGCATTGCCAAAATTATGGTCCTGATGGTTCAAACTGCGATGCTCCAGGCAGAACTCTGGCAGCATCTCAGGAGCAAGCCCGGTGTCCCGGTGATGTTGTCCGACTTCTCAGATCGACCGAAATTTTTTTAGTATCTTGATGCGTGCTCAGGCGCAAAAGAGGATTTGCTTTGGCCGCGACCCGGAGGCGGCTTCGCTTCACGAGAACCAACCTTTCAAGAGCGCATTCGGGGTCACCATTGTCCATTCGTTTTCGAGGCGGGAGCCTGCAGGAGAGGTGCCCTTGGATGCTTCGGAGTTGTCAGTCAGTTGTGCTTGATGTTGCATCCACAAATGCAACTCCTTTGCTCCGAACCATACTCGTGTCCCTCCTATCATGCCAAAGACACAGTCTTGAACAAATGCTGTTGCCCCTGCCGCGATTGCCCCAAAGACAAGTTCTTCCGTCTTCCAAGCAAGTAGATGTTGTAGCACGCATCAAATGTCGGTGACGCTGCAGACGGCGCGCAAGCGAGTGTCAAGCAGCGGCAACAGGTCCAGACCATTGACTCCTGCCGAGGCACTAAAACTGAAAGGTTTCGGCGAAGATGAAGGAGCCGAAGGTTTGCGACGCCTGCTGCGTACTCCTCGCGTTTTCCACCGATCACAGGACATTCGCCATACCAAGCGAAACGAGCTGAGGGCAAATTTGCTGCCCTGCATTCTCCAGACAAGCGAAGGAATCGAAAGGAAAGTTCCAGACAAAGCCCAGGCGTCGCATGGAGCGTTTGAGGAACCCTCTGAGAAGTACCAACACTACAAAGGTATTCTAACAGGAAGAAGTGAGGGTGAGAATGCCACGCAAGTTTTCGTTGACAAGGAAGCCTTCCCACCAACTGGATGGGATCCTTCGTGGCAGGCCGTGCAGGCTTGTCAAGGGCTTTGGGACCTTGTCCAGGACAGGTCGCAGCGATATCGAAGACCTGTAGAAGAAATGGTGAACGTCAATAGCGACCTGCCGTTCCTGCACCAGGTAGGGCTCGCTTGAACCAATTCTATAAGGCAATGTAGGATGCACGAGGATGCAGAAGGATGCGGGAGGGGTCATAGCTTCTGCGCATCTTGCCCTGCAGGATGCTGCCGTCGACCTGGAAGAACTTACAAATTCCTTGACGATCGAGTTCCAAAACCTTGAGAATTCCTGGAAAGGCACCAAGCAAGCCTTCACAAGCCTTCAAATTGCATCACGTGTGCCTTTATTGGTCAAAGATCCGGGTGGTACCATCCTCGAGACACAGTCGCTGCCAAATGATGTACATACACTGCGCTTGGACCTGAACCCTGGAGAAGTTCGTCACATCGCTTGCAACATGAAGAGCCGGCACTTCAAAGGCACGGCTCTGGAGCAGCGCCTGTTGGCAATTGTGGACCCGGAGCGGGGCGCCCTGGCAGCGCTTGTGCGGGCGCTGCAAAAGCGTGAGGCTGATGCGAAGGGCCTGGCATCGGTGTTGAACGGGCTCCTCCGTGAGGCCCAGTGTAGCGCGACTCAGGTAAGACGCGGAGATTTTGGTTTTGCCTCTCGAGGTCAGCGGCTCGCTGCCTGGCCTTGATGCGTCGCTGCAGTTCCGGCGAGATAGTACGGCGGCGGAGGAAAGGCTCCAGACACTTCTGGAAGACTCGAGGCGGACGCTCTCACGGCTCCTCTCCGTGGCAGACAAGCTTGCACCAGTGGCAAGAGCCTGACGCATCTCAAACATTCTCAAACCCTCAGCAATGAGCATGCAGATGTCGCAGCATTTGCAATTCCTGAGGCCCAACCGCTGGTGGCCTCTTTGGCGCATGCAATCGACCGGATGGCTTTGATCTGCGTGAGGGAGGCCAGAAGCGAATCGCATATGATACGGTTGGTCATGATGTCTTTGTTGGTACGGCCAAGGTGGATCGCTTGGCCACGAGGTGTCATGAGGAATACGAGCGCCTGCTGCAGGACCAGCGTTTAACCTATGAATGATAATGTATCTTTAAGCTGCCGATGGTCTCATGCGGTGTTCGAAGCCAGTCGCCATGTCTTCGCTTGCAGGCGTTCTTCGAAAGCGAGGATGCCGATTCACTGAGTGCATCAGACTTCACAAGAGTCAAGGCATTTTTGCAAGTTTGTCTGAGGCAAGGAAACAGGCTGAGGATCTGATTGAAAAGATCGGAGGAACTTGACGGCCTTTGAATGCTCCTTTTTTCGCCGAACAGCCCCAGTCTCATGAGGACGCAGCATTGGAGGCGACATCGCCAATAGGCTGAAGTTCATGGAGGCGAGCAACAGACTTTTCTTTTTCGCTGGACCCGTACCGCCGTACCTCCTTCGCCAGAACGAGCTCCAGCAGCAAGCTAGAACGCATGCGAAGCTCATCGAGGAGAAGAACAGCCTCGAGGCAGTGCAGCAGTGCAGCAGCGCCATGCAGCTCCACTTTGCGCTGCATGAGCATGCATGAGCTGCATGCGTTCAATCGCTACGACCACGCAGGTGACCATGGAGGAAGGCGTCAGCACTGCAGCCACCCAGCCTGCAAATTTTGGGACGGCGTTTTTGGAGCTCTGTTTTTTTAAGAGCATTCGCACCGGGCTTCGCAAGCTTGCTAGGCAGAACTCCGCGGCAAAGTTCGCCGACTCGAACAGGCAAGCCACCGTGCAAGTCCTGAAATCTTGGCCTGGATTCGTCGCGAGTAGAAACGTGGACGTTTAGTCGACTTAGTGTTGACTTATTTACCCAGCCACGGAGTCAGAAACACTGCCCTTCACCCAGCATTCAGATGTAAAGATGCTGAGACGATGTGACAAGTCTGATGTCCAGTCAGGAGCTGCATCACCTGCGCCGTCGGCAGCTTGCTTGGCCTGGCTCCCAGTCAGTCGCAATGATGGGATGCCATGCTGCAGTGCTTCCTAAGGTCCTCCGAGGTCAAGCCGCCTCCGCCCGAGATCAGACGGATACAGGTTGCCCGCGTCCCAAGAACAGGGCAACAGGCGGCAACAGCATAGCATCATAGACCATCCTGGCGCCGTCTCCTGAAATTATGGCTCCCCTGACACCTGTTGCATCCTGTTGCCAGTTTGCATTGGTCCCTAGACCACCGCAGAAACTGGTTGACGTGTTTGTTTCATTTCAATGATCTTGATGCAACCTTCAACCCGGCAAGTTGTACATCTCTCCGATTCCTAGCGAGCTCCCTTGTGGTGTTTGCGCTATGAGCACAAGGCAGTTCATGCGGAGGCAACTGTTGGATCTGTTTGAGGTCAAGTCAGATTCCGAACAGTCCTTGTGCGAGGACGACGGCCCGTCGGAGGCCAGGCTGAGTGTTAGAAGCCTTCAGAACATCAGCTTTGAAACAGTTTTGCCCACCCTCACAGTTGGGTTCTTTGTTTTGTAAGATTGTAAGAAGCCCATGTTCTCCTCGCCGTCCAGGCAGTGCCCAACCGCAGTGTATCCAACCGCCGAGTATCCGTGGCGTGCCCACCCGTAGAGTACCCCCTCCACAGCACAACATCCGCAGAGTTTCCCAGCAGTCCCCAACCGCAGAGTATCCCCATGCCCAACCGCAGAGATCCGCAGAGTATCCCTGCACAAGTCTGGGTATATCCCGCAATCATTTTGTGCCAGTTCGCAGGCCGGCCGCAGAACATGGCCGTTGTAGGCACTGGATTGTTAACGTGGAATGCCTCTACCCCAAATAGACAAGCTGAGCCCAACCTCAAGCCTTTCTGTATGCTGATCTCCAGCTCAAGTCGGGTTTCGAGGCGGCCCCACCAGCTTTTGCTGTGGCTGGAAGTGCGCAAACTGACACGGAGTTCTACTTCTCCAAAGGCTCCTAGTCTGCCCGTTTAAGCCTTCCAGCATCCCTTCCTGCAGCGAGCTGCAGCGAGGTGAGGAACTGAAGCCGCCAGAGGAGATGAGCTTCGTGCAATACACTGGCATCCTTCAGCTGGATGCTCATTCCCCATTCGCCATCATTCGCCCTTGACGCACGTTTGTGGTGTATGTTTGTGGTATGTGTGGCATGTTCTTGAGGACTGTACAGAGGCTGTACAAGATGCTTGGCAAGTACGAGCCACGCTGCTGCATCAAGCTTTGCATCAAGCTTTGCATCAAGCTTCTCAAGCTGGTTACAGGATGCGTTTACCTGGGTCGCTTAATGCAGGTGGAACGCAAAAACTGGGAGCTTCTTGTACAGGACAATGCCTCAACAAGCCAATCGCTTCGTGCTTTTAATTGAGAAGGCTTCGTTGAGATAACGTCTCTTGCTGTCTCGCAGCAGGACGGATGGAAGTAGCTCAGATGAGGGCGTTGAGGCGCGAAGTTGCTAACTGTCGCTAGCTGCTGGCACAACTGCAGAGTGATAGGGACAGTTGGACACTGTTTGAACTTCAACACTGGGAGCAGGGTCAGCGGCGTCCATCGCATCAAGGTGCAGGTCTGCACGGATCTGAGCATTCTTTTAGGATTTTTTGTGCTAGCCTCTTCCGTTGCCCCCATGCGCTGACAAGTTTCCGAGGTTGGGTAACAACAGGAATGCAGCATCTTGGCTCTAAGCTATTCTTAAGTACATCTGAATGTCTTGCAGAAACCTGAACTCTCTGAAAGGAAATTCGCAGACTGAAAGTGAAAGTGCAAGAAGCACATCAGCAGGCCACTTCATTTTGAACCTTTCCCGTCGTCAAAGGGCAGTGAGTGAGACCGCTAAGCCTCGAGGCCGCTGCGTCACAACTCAAGGAGCAGCTGGATCGCCTACAGCCAGCTGCCCGCGGCCTGCGCCACTTTCGAGTGGCTTGCAAGCAGCCTTCTCTAGATCTAAGGTGAAAGGACACTTCGACGTTGGCTGCTCAGTGCATTCGCCCACCTGTCGGGTAAGGCTGCCATATCTTTCATTATTGTGAACAGGGTTGCGGGCACGCTTTCAATGTATCCACCTTCTCCCTGCACTCCAGTATGCCCGAATGCAGCGCCCTTTTGGACTCTAGCAGTACAACATTAACTTGTCGGGCCTCGTGAAACGCAGGAAATTGGCTTAGGCTGCCATGACAGCTCAGGTCTGGTTGGCAAACCTGCTGAAGGACCATGCGATCAACTCTTCGCATGAGTCAAGCGCTGGTTTCGCTTGAGGAATCCGGCTCCGACAAGGTTCGAGATGGACGGCGCGCCTTTCTTGAGCTCCTTCTCAGATGGTCTTACAGCATTCTTCACATGTTGCCAGGCTGCCTGACCCAGAGAAGCTGTACTCAGCCGTTTGCCTGCGCATGTTTACTTGTCGT